CCTGGTGCAGTAGTGAATTATGAATGCTAAGTGCAAGGTCAGTTGATCGAACCCCCAGCCCTTCTGAGGGAAAGAGATGAAGCTTTCTGTTCACATAAAGGTTTACAACCTCAGAAACCAAAAGGGACAGTTCTACTCTGCCCTACAGGGTTGTTTGAGTCAGAATGGACTTGACAGCAGTAAGTTTGATTTTTACATTTAGAAGAGAAAGCCTAGTCCCTTTCTTGGACTATGAACCTTAAAATATGCTCAGCTTCCTCAATCAGGAAAATTAATTCAGTTAATCCAACCTTCTTGCTTGGCTAAAGAACTTGTGAGAGGCTTCTCAAGAGGCAAGTCCAGTCTTATAGGCCCCTGACACTGGAGATCATTTCCTGCCTCATTCTCCACACGGTCTCGATCTCGCTTCCTTTTGTCCTCCTAATTGGAATAAAAGAGAAATTATTTAGAAACTGTTCAGAATTAAGATCTATACATGTATAAACTTTTAATTTCAGAGGAAAATATAGAGCATTCTTGAAAAGAAAATAGATTCTTAATATTAAAATCTTTAGTGTTTTTACTGACATCTACTGGAATAGAGGAGAATAAAGTGTTAAGGGGAGGAGAGGGAGAGTATTCCTACCTGCCAGGAATAACCTGTTACAAAAATAACCAATGTACATAAAAAAATCTGGGGTTTTCACAAAGACGACATTAAAAATCAATGAAAAATGGCTGATGCTGGTATAAATGGTTAATTATAGTGGACAAATAATCTTTACATTATACCTTATGTGTTAAAAAAAAAAAGAATTCCAAAGGCATACATACAAAGCAAACTTTTAGATTTCAGTAGAAGTAGAGAACTTTTATGACATAAGAGAATAATTATCTTTTAAGCAAGGTACAATGAAGAAAAAACGATAAATTTGATACTAAAATGTAAGTACTCATACCTAACATACGTTAACTCAAAAAATCCAATAAACTAAAACCAATAAAACACAAAGCTAAACATTAGCTACCACCTGTGATAAAGTAGATAAAACCTATTAACTCTGAGCATCAGAAATCACATATAAAAAGACCCAATATAAAATAGGTAAAGGCTATCACAGATAAGAAGAAAACCCCGAAATGTTCAGAAACATGAGAAGTTACTCAAATCCCTCAGAATTTGGAAATTATAAAATTAAAAAACCAGAAAAACCTAATTGCCACACCTAATTGGCAAAAATTCAGATTTCTACAAATTCCAAGTTTTGATAAAAATGTTAAGAAATGGGACTCTCAGACTTTGTAGATGAATGAGAAATTGGTGCAATCATTAATCAGCAGAACAATTAGCCACTATGTTCACATGGGGAACTTGCACAAGAGGGTATATACAGCATGGCTTAAGATTTAAAAAAAGCATCGAAAAGGGTTGTAATTCTTTCCCTTCATTTAATATGTATGATACACAAATAACCTGAGAAAACGGACTATATGAAGGACTGGAGGAAGAGTCATTAACGATAAGCAGACGACACAATGTGTCTCTAACTCCCACAAAATAACTGAATGAGACCATGCAAACAGGGCAGGCATAACACTTCCAGAAGAAACTGTTCAGTTTTAGCTGCCACTCCCCTGGCTCTAAGCATGAGCCATCCCAGGAACAGGAGCAGGAGCAGATAGAATTCCCGGGATCATCAAGGAAGAAGAGTCGCCAGCAGAGCACATCTGACATCGTCGTCTGAAGTGGCAGCTGTCATGCCAAACCAAAAGCAGAGGCCAATGCAAGGAGACCGGGAGACACAGAGGATCATTGCCAAAAGACCGAGACCGTGAACTAGAGCCACCGGGCTTCCTTGTTCCGATCTGAGGCCTGGGTATCATATGGTTAAGAGAAAAAGGATCAGAGAAACACATCTTGGCTGTTGGCTGAAGAAAGGCATTGCAGTGGACCAATGCTTGTTTCCCTACAATTTACTAATCCCGATTTATGTTTACCTTTTAACTTCTCTAAAACATTTCCACAATGGTAAGTTTTGCTGTGAGTTCTGTGTGGTCACTGCAACTAATTATCAAACCCAGCAGAAAAGTCACGGGAGGAACAGTTCGTATAAGAAAGAATACGGTAAAGAATGATGAGGGTAACTATTTTAGAGTTTATGGCCCTCAGTTCTGTCACAACTATTACATTTTGCTGATTCAGTATGAAAGCAGCTATACATATTAGGGAAATAAATTGGTGTCACTTTATTCCAGTAACTTCATAAAAACAGATACTGGTCAGGTTGCCAACCTTAAGTCTAGAATAGAACCCCCATCCAAACTCACTGCCATGGAGTTGATGCCGACTCATAGCGACTACAGGACAGGGTAGAACTGCCTTCGTGGGTTTTCGGGACAGTAACTCTTTATGGAAGAAAGGCTTTTCTTTCTCCCTTACAGCCACTGGTGGGACTGAAGAGCTGACCTTGTGGTTAGCAGTAACCCAGGGTATTCCAGTCTAGAACTGTGTTTCTTAAAGTGGGTGGTATCCATGGGATATTTCTGTGGGAGCTGCAGAGGCAGAGGATAGTCCTATGGGATAAAGAGAATGGTTAACATTTTTAATTGCCAGAGAGGTGCTGAGTAATTTTTTTCCTGAAAAGGGTACAGTAGGCCAAATAAGTGGCAACCTCTGATTTACACTAGGGCTTCTTAAACTTTTTCTACTTGTGACCCATTTTTGCCTGAGGAATTTGCACCACAGCCAACTGCTGCTAGAAACTCCTTGACTTCATGATGTGTTTGATTTTGAATTACTTTTGGATTACTGATTTTTCAGAAATGCTTTACTGCTGCCGAATCTCCTAGTCTTATAATTGCTAGGTGTTATATAACTTTGGCTATTTCCAAAATAAAATCTCCGGTCAAAGATATACCTCCCCTTCAGTGTTTTTGATTTCAAGTGTGTGCATAGTCTTAAAAATAGAGAAATCTTTGGTTAAGTATATTGACTCCAAAATAATGATTAGTATGCTTTTAAAACTATACATTATATAGGAAGGCTTCATATATTCCTCTATGCCAGAAATTTTAGAAAATAATATTATTCAAAATATCTTATAAATATGAGGGGGCTTCAAAAGGTTTGTGGAAAATAGAATGAAAAGATAATGAAACTTTCTCATGAACTTTGAGAAGCCCTGTAGTACACTGATAGATAACCTTTATATATGCAAGAATAACCTGCAAGAGCAGAAACTGTCCAAGTAATTGTGAACGGTTTTAGTATGAATAGAAGCCTTGGAGCTGTAGCAAGTTATGCATTGGGTTGTTAACCACCAGGTCAGTAGTTCAAAACTAGCAGGTGCTCTAAGGAAGAAAGATGAGGTTTTCTACTCTCATAGAACATTACAGTCTAGGAAAACCATAGGGACAGCTCTACCCTACTCTTCAGGGTCACTACAAACTGGGATTAACTCAAAGGCAATGAGCTTGAGTTTTACTACGAATAGCAAAAGCCATGTAGAAAAACCATTATGGGTAAAAAAGAAACAAACTCACCCCCCAAAAGCTTCAATTATTGTATGTATCATCCTTGAATTGTGCCAAAAGTATTGCTTTAAACATTTTTATTTTATGGTTGTTGTGAATATACACACCAATAGTTTCTAGATGCACATTTAAATGATATGGATTACATTCTTTGAGTTGCACAATGATTCTCACCACTAGTTGAGCTAAATTATTTGGTTTTAAGATTACTTGGGTTTTATTCATTGCTCAAGACAATTGGTTCAGGGATAAATTGTAATTTATATTAATGAAGGAGGAACAACTGAGAAAAGGATGGTGAAAATTTCTCTTAAATATTTGAATGAGAATTACTGGCAAGAAATTTCCATGCTGATGTAATTCTTATTATATAGCATGTCCTCTTTTTTTTAAAAGATTCAGCCTTGTTTTCAAATTAAACATTCCCACAACTAATAAACTGCGCATTAAAAATGCTCATACCATTTAATCTAGTGATATGTACAAGAGCACAATGAAGTAAAACTTATGGTACAATTCTGTGTAGGCTACTTAGTTGATAAAATGAGGATCTATGAGAATTAGAGTAGTTATTACATAATTTTAAGTAAAACAGCAAAAGTACATATCTCTATCGTGATTACTATAAAACTACACATACATCTGAGTTGTAGTCAATTAATATGGCCCTTCTAGCCATAATTCCTTATGTGATGTTGTTCTGGACTCTACACCTGTGACTATCTCATTTTGGAGAGCATTCTCTACTATACTAATGGACAAGATTAGGGTAGGATTAAGACCTGACTAGAGTAAGGAGCCCTGGTAGCAAAGTGGTTATGAGTTGGGTTGTGGTCGTTAAGGTCCACAGTTAAAAACCAGCTGCTCAGTGGGAGAAAGATGGGGCTTTCTACTCCTGTAAAGAAAGTGTTACAGTCTCAGAAACACACAGGGGCAGTTCTACCCCGTCCTATAGGGTTGTTATGAGTCAGAGTTGATGCAATGGCAGTGAGTTTCATCTGGTGAAGTAGAGGGTAGAGCCCTGGTTAGTCATTACGAGGTGGGCTACTAACTACAAGGTCAATAGTTTGAAATTATCATCCACTCTGAGGGAGAAAGAATAAGATTTCTATACCTGTGAAGAGGGACTGTCTCTGAAACCTACAAGGGCTGTTCCACTATGTCCTATAGGGTTGCTACTACTCAGGATTGACTCACGGCCGTGAGTTGTTTTTTATTAGAGGGCGTGAATCAAGCTGCACCCTTTGTTTTTTTGGCTGCATCTTTATGCTTTATTAGAGGGTGTGACTTAAGATACCATCCTTTGCTTTCTTTGGAGGTGTATGCCTCCATCAAAGCCTCCTCAGTGCCTAAGAGTCACATAGTACACACAGAGAAATTGCAGGACCATTTGGAAAAGCCTACCCAAGACCTCTTTCTGAAGGAGCAGGGGCTGAGGAGATCAACTGCATCAGACCAGCTTGGAGACTCAGAGGAACAGTGCCAAGACTATGGGGTACTCTCTCCTCCTCTGGCCCAAGTCTATGGAACTGTGGAACACAGTGACAGGTAGATTGGCTTCCTGGCCCATGGAGGCAAAGGCCGAGAGATCTTGTGGCCAAAAAACTGAGCACTGAAGAGACCTGGCTGCTAGCTAAGGAGAGGTTTTGCTGTGGACCAATGACTATAGCCTTACTGTTTTCTGGGCCTGGCTTGTGGTCACTTTTCTAATAGACTCTCCTACTCATGAGTATTCTGATTCATCTGTTGCCATTGCAGAGTTATGGACAACATCATAGAAGTAGACTGCTGTGGAAAGAATGGTTAGTGTCAAAATAGGTAAGGAAGGATGGCATACAGGTGTGACGGACCCAATCACAGCAATAAGAAAGCCATGAGGTCAGCTACGTTCATCTCCATTGTTTTTT